TGTTTTCACAGAAATATTAACTCTAGAAGAGAACATTCGGACCACGCAGAGAGATTTACAGGACAGTGATTGGACCATAGTTACCTGGAAGGAGCTTCATACTGAATTTATTTACTACTACTGTTGTTATTATGATGATCTTTGTGTCAGAGACCTGCCGTTGTGCACACACATGTATTCCTACACATATAAGTCCTGAATATACAGCAGAAGGAGAGATGCAGCAGATGTGTTCAAACAGAGCCTCAGAGTCCAACTGTACAGCTCAGGTTACACTCACTTATAACTGTGGGGCACACCGTGTTCTCTCTGAAGAACGCTGACTACAACTGTGATTTACACGTCATGACCTTTGAGCTTTCAGTTCCTGCCACTGTCCTGCATATATGCATGCTGCTGACAGCAGCATGAATGTATCTCATTTACATATTTAAAGGTAGATAGTGGAAGACAACACAGGGCAACAGGACAACAGTAGGGGGAAAAGAGGGATAAATAACACTGTTTTACAGGGGTGGAATTTGTCCTGGAAAACTGTACTCCAGTAAAAGTACTGTTATTTTAAATAAACAGTATTTGAGTAAAAATACTTGTGTAAAATGTCCTCAGATAAAAGTATAAAATGAGGCAAAATGTTCTCAAAAACCTGTGACCCCGTTAAATAGAAAATGGATGGATATTCTCAAAAAATATGACTGCAGTTACTATTTAGGGATTCAATGATACGCATGATATATTTATTCCATTCTTATTAAAGAATGTGTGTATGCTACAAGATAAAGAGCACTGATAACAAATATTGTTAAGGACATAAATTAATTACATGTATGATTAAAATAATGGGAGATGGGGAACCTTTGACAGACTGCTGTTTCCTGTGGTAACCGTACTCACTTCCTGAGTTTAAAAATCCTTCTCCTAACATACAAAGCCCTTAATGACAAGGCTCCATCATATCTTAAAGACCTCGTAGAGCCTTATCATCTCAACAGAGCACTTCGCTCTCAGAGTGCAGGTTTACTTGTGGTTCCTAGAGTCCACAGAAGTAGAATGGGAAGCAGAGCCTTTAGCTATTAAGCTCCTCTCCTGTGGAACCAGCTCCCGTCTTAGTTCAGGAGGCGGACACCCTCTCTACCTTTAAGATTAGACTTAAGACGTTCCTTTTTGATAAAGCTTATAGTTAGGGCTGGATCAGGTGACCCTGAGCCTTCCCTTAGTTATGCTGCTATAGGCCTAGGCTGCTGGGGGCCCCCATTACACATTACTAACTTTGTTTCTCCTCTCTCCCGTAGTGTGTCCTCTCTCTCTCTCCCTGTAACTTTCTGCAGGTTGCCCTGGAGCTCTATATCTCTGACGAGCAGTCACCAGCCACATCGACCTGATCAGTGTTTGATTGTTGTGTCTTGTTGCTTTTCTTCTTTTCTCTCTCCTCTATCCACTCACCCCAACCGGTCGAGGCAGAAGGCCGCCCACCAAGAGCCAGGGTCTGTCGGAAGTTTCTTCTGTTAAAGGGAGTTTTTCCTCCCCGTTGTCGCCAAGTGCAGCTCAGGGGGAATTTGTTGGGTTTTCCTCTATAATAATAATAATGATGATTGTAAGGTCCTTACTTGATAGTAAGGTAAGACCTTACTTTGTGAAGTGTCCTGAGAAGACTTTTGTTGTGATTTGGTGCTATACAAATAAAACTGGAATTAGAATTGGGGGTGTCCTCCATGATGTCCACCAGTATGATCAGCATCCTCCTCTAAAGAACCATCCATGACACAGAGTTAGCCTTCCTGACCAGTTTTCTCAGTTTGCTGGTGTCAATGGCTCCGATGCTGCTGCCCCAGCAGTAAAGAAACCTACACTGGCCACAGCAGACTGAGAGAATATCTGCAACATCTGGCTGCATCTGGGTTCCTCAGGAAATAGAATCTGCTCTGTCTCTTCCTATGGACAGCCTCTGACTGTGTTAGGCTTCCAGTCTGTCATCCAGGTGGACATGCAGGTATATGTAGTTCTCCACCATCTTGCACCCCTGGGTATGAATGCTGTGGCTTGTGGCACTGGTCCATGGTGTGTTCCTAAAAAAGTAAGTGTTACGTCAAGTGTAACTTTAAGTCACTATGGTGTCAGTGTAAACGTCTGCTGCTCCCTGCTGGGCACATCCCGTTCACACCGCGGTCCCAGTCTGATGGCGCTCTCAGAGCAGTTAGTAGACAGGGGGCGGGGTTAGCTCACTGACCAATACGAGCGGACCTGGAGCGTTACCAAGGAAACCGGCATAGAGACAGTGGACGCTGTAGCAGCTAGGCTAATGGGCTAGTTAGCGGTAAGCTGAATCACCAGCAGCTGTTAAACATTTGAAATGGTCTTCCACGTTAAATTTAATCGTTAAGGGCAGTAGTTAGATTCACGGCCCGCGGTCACCGTTTCAACGTATGTCGACGTTTGGTAGCTAGTATGGCAGCATCGGTGTCCGCCTACCGAGGCTAGCGTTAGCTGCGTATGTATAGGGGGCTGCCGATTAGCATACTAGCACGAAACTAACGCGTTAATCCAAATATCATCTGGATAAACATACTAACATCCGCGGGCTGAGCACCGTTATGTAGCCGGGTAGCAGTGGGCTAAATCAGCTGTGCTTGCAGCCGGCATGGATGTGAGTTAACAGCAGGATTGGGAAGGTCAACCCCAGGTCTGTGGTTCTCTGGTTCTTCACAGCAGCACCCTGGTCCTCCAGGGCGTAGGGACGGAAGAGCTGCACGCGCCGTTCAGGCCCAGACCGGGAGGAGATGCCGCGGAGCGGAGGGCCCGCTAACCGGTGCTAACCAGGTGAGCTGCCTCTCCTACCTGTTTCAGGTGCTGCCAGACGTGCATAACAATGATGCTGTCGTAGGAATTTTTGTAGACAGGGTAACAATGGACCTGCTGTTCACGATATAATTAATCCATTCCGTCGATGTGTGTATTTGGCAATGTTACTGTTATTTATCAATGAATCTGTTGATTATTGTCTTGATTGATCAATAAGTCGTTTATATTTATAAAATTCCATGAAAATAACGGTAAAAGTGTCTGCCACAGTTAGGACTGCAACTAATGATTATCATCTATATAGATTAATCTGACTATAAATTAATCATTAATTGGTGCATGAAAAGGCAATATCAGAATAATAACAAATAGAGCTCCAACAATTAGCTGATGAGTTAGTCCACTGACAAAAACATTTTAATAAAAAAATCAAATATTTTGATGATGGGTCAGTCATTTCAGTCATTTTTCAAACAAATATTATGAATGAAACTGCATTGATTAGGTGATAGGTGATGTGGTCTGATGGTGCACAGCTGTAACTGTTGCTGAGTTCCTTTGTGTAGCAATGTAACTCCAGCACAGGTAAGAATGACAGGTGTGTTTTAGGTCATATTCAGGGATGGTTCAGTCATCATAAAGTAGCTTCACCCTGCAGCTCATCTTTTGATCATGTGATGAAGACCATGCTCTCTAACTGAAAGAGCAGACACTAGTCTCTAATGTGTGCAGGATGGATGTGTGCAGCAGGAACCCTAACCGCACGGTGCCGGTTGGCGAGGATGGCCCACACCGAGCTGATTTGCGGCTCTGCTCTCGGACCAATGGCTGGAGCTGGCCGCCACATCCCTTCCAGCTGCTGGCCTGGCTGCTCTATGTCTATTTTGCCGTCACTGGCTTTGGCGTGTTTGTCCCCCTGCTGCCCGCACACTGGATCCCTGCAGGCTACATTGTATCCTTACAGCTGGTGTTGGCAAAGAGACGTTGATAAAAAATATTTAGAGAAAAAGGTTGCAATGGAAAATATGTGAGAACAGTCTGATGTTTCACCAATAAACTCCTCATTATCATAGATCTTTGTTTTTCAACATAAGCACCTTCTGATTAGGATCTGTTAGACCTGGTGTTTGAAAGAACTGCTTTCATTCAGTAAAGAGTCCTGATCTGTATGTCAGTGTACGGGTATCATGTTCGTCTGTCACCTGTGTGTCCACGTGATGGCCGTGTCCATCGACCCAGCTGACTACAGTGTCAGAACAAAGAGTGATAAAGGTCCGGTCCCTGTGTTCGACCGCTCCAAACATGCACATGTCATCGAGAACTGCCACTGCTACCTCTGCCGGGTTGATGTGTGAGTAGCACCAGACACTCAACATACACACCTCACACCATTTGAGAGGTGGAGTGGTCAGCACCATCTTATCACAATAAGAAGAGGTTAAAGCACACATTCATAAAAAGGAAAAAAAAATTCTCAAAAGGTGTGAAGCTTTGGCCATTTCAGAAACATGCAGGTTCTCTCTGATAGACTGACCGCCTGTGTACCTGTACCCCAAACCTACTGTGCAAAGGATCAGATTTTCCTTTGGTCAAAACTGCAGGTGTGAAACAGAGCTCAACCTCAGAGCCTGGGCACACCTGAAGGTGCCACAGTGGAACTCAGCCACACTGCTGAACTACTGTGCCTGGGAACATGTTAGCTTTAGTCACAACATTTGGATACACACAGAAAATGATTTGGTTGCACTGTTTGTGATGAAGTCAACCAGATACCTGTGAGTCTACAATCTACTTTTATAAAGAGGGCGAAAGTGAAAGTGAAACTCAAAGCAGCCTGGTTGAATCAGCTGTAGAGCGAGGAAAGTCGATAAATCCATAGGCTACATAAAAATGGGATTTCTTCCTAAGAAGCATGCGTGACAGCTACTTTTGTCCAGTCATAATAATAATAATATAACAATAATAATATTTATTTATAATGCACTTTCCAACTCAAAGAGCACAAAGTGCAACACCAATAAAATTAAAAACAATCAAAGTCTTACACAAGCAATAGATAAACATAAGACAGGCACAAGCACTCCTAGGCATATAGCGCACTTCCGTCCAGCATACTGCTGTGGGAGCAGACTAAAAAACAATGGCCCCCAAGACAGATAAAACTGACTAAACATTAAAAGCTTGTTTAAAAAAATAAGTTTTTAGAGCTGACTTGAAAGCTCTTAGCTCCGTTTCAGCGCGAACATCTAAGGGTAGAGAGTTCCACAGTCTAGGGCCATGCACGGCAAAAGCGCGACCTCCCCATTACTTAGAGTGAAAAGAGGGAACCACAAGGGCGAGATGACCTGACAACCGTAGAGTTCTGCAAGGGACATATCTGGACAGGAGGTCCGATAAATACAAGGGGGCAAGGCCGTGCACAGCTTTAAACACACAAAGCAGGATCTTGAACTCCACTCTCCATTTTACCGGCAGCCAATGGAGAGACAGCAGCGCTGGGGTGATATGGGCCTGCCGACGAGTGTTTGTGAGCAGACGGGTGGCCGCATTTTGCACCAGTTGGAGCCTAGCCAAGGCTGACTGGGGCAAACCGGCATAGAGGGCGTTACAGTAGTCAAGCGGGAGGTCACAAAAGCATGAATGGCTTTCTCTAAATTTGCAGGAGATAGGAATGGTTTTACCTTGGCTAACAATCTCAGTTGGTAAAAGCTAGTTTTTACCACAGATCTAATCTGCTTATTGAAGTTAAAATTTGTATCAAATATGACACCCAAATTTTTTACAACGTTTGAGAATGGGGGGGTGCAGAAGTGCCTAAGTTGCATATGACCACAGCTGGGGCAGAGCTAATAAGAATGTATTCAGTTTTCTCTTCATTTAAATAGAGGAGATTTTAATCTAACCATATCTTAACCTCGCGCACACAGTTCTGCAGTGAAGCAAATGAGCCTGATTCAGGTTGTACCAAAGGCATGTAAATTTTAATATCGTCAGCATAAAAATGGAAAGAAACGTTATGCCTAGATATGATAGCGGCAAGTGGAGACTAATATAAGGAAAAGAGCAGAGGAGCCAGAATGGAGCCTTGTGGGACGCCTGAGGTCAGAGGAGCTGTGTTGGAAGAATAGTCGCAGATGATGACCGAATAGGTTCTGTTGGTAAGATACGACTTAAACCAACTTAAAACCTCACCTCCCAGGCCAAAGAAGTGCTCGAGCTTTAAAGGCAGAATAGAGTGGTCTACTGTGTCAAAGGCGGCCGATAGGTCCAGCAAAGCTAGAATGACCGGGCGTCTAGCATCAAGGGCTAATGCAATATCATTGTGTACCTTGAGTAAGGCAGACTCAGTGCTGTGTCGAGACCTGAACCCTGATTGAAATTTGTCAACGGTTTCTAACCGATAAAGGTGCGCTTGGAGCTGGATAAGCACCAAGCGCACCTTGAAGCTTCTCAATAACTTTAGAGAAAAAAGGCAGAAGAGATATTGGACGAAAATTTCCTAATACGGTCAAATCGAGATTGGGCTTTTTAAGCAATGGTCTAATTACCGCATGCTTAAAGGGTGCAGGAACTAAGCCCGAGCTCAGGCAGGAGTTAATGAAGATAACCACCAGAGGAGCAATAGTGTCAATGACTTCTTTAAAAATCTTCCCAGAGAGGGAGTCTAGAGGGGAAGAAGCGAGTTTAAGCTGGAGCACACATTTTTTAGGTTCGGCAATGGACACCTGGGCAAACGAGGTGAAAGTATGGGAAGAAAGGGCCACAGGTAGAGTATAAGGTAAAGAAAACGGGGTGCTCTGTCTAATGGCCCAAATTTTCTCACTGAAGTACATTAAGAAGTTGTTGCAAATAGTATTCGAGGCTTCGACAGGTAGAGCACTAGAGGGATTAATAACAGCATTAATGGTCTTAAAACAACACTCTCGGCTGATGCCTATTTTCCAAAATGACATTAGATAAATATTGAGCCTTAGCGCCATTCACAGCTCTCCGATAAGCCTGATGGCTGTCTCTCAAAATGCCCAGGGAGACTTGTAGACCGTCCTTCCTTCATTTGCGCTCTGCCTGTCTGCAGCGTCTCCGATAGGCACAAGTAGTGTCATTGAGCCAGGGGTCCAAGTAGTTTCTAATTCTTTTTCTCCTGACCGGGGCAATAGAGTCCATAATCTGGACACAGGTAGAGTCGAATGCAGCGAGGAGAGTCTCTGGAGGCAGAGTGGGATGATATATTCCTAAAGAATATAAATCCGAGGCCAAAAAGGCCGCCACAAAGTCCGATGGTCTAGAGGATGTGATAATCCTGCGGCTCTGGGCTGGGGCAGTCGGACAAGTAATGGGGTCTGCTCCCCGGACCTCAAAACGGATGACGAAATGGCTAGGTTAGACACATCACTGATAAAGGCAGTCAGGCCTCGAGAAATGACCAGGTCAAGCATTCCTCCTCGGTGATGAGTGGGGGAGCAAACTGCCTGCCTAAGATCAAAAGAGTCGGTAACAGCGCATTAAAGTCATTAGCTAATTGATCAACGGGGTTATTGATATGAATGTTAAAATCCGCAGATCAAAAAATAGTCAAATTGTGGAACAAGCATTGATAGGAAGTCCCCAAAGTCGTTAATGAAGTCTTTGGATTTGGGAGGACGGTATATGACTGCACATAGAATGGGATAGCGGAGAGTTAAAGTAAAAGTTAGGACCTCAAAGCTAGGATAGGCCTTGACCGGAAGAAGGCAACATTTCAGAATATGTTTAAAAACCGATGCTAGGCCACCACCTCTCCCAGTAAGGCGAGGAGCGCTGAAAAATAGATAATCGGGAGGTAAAAGTTCAATTCAATATCATGTTCATATCTCACTTTCACTGTGGCTAAATTACTTGTGCAGCAGAAAACAGGCAACTTTGGCGTCATTCCTCATCATCATTAATGAAAATATATTTATGCATACTATAGCCCATTTCTGCTAATAAGTCCTACTAGATCTTACAGACTGCACCTTTAAAACTGCCGTTTTGTGCATGTTGTAATAATATGATTGGCACAACATAGACATTTTATCATGTAACCCTAACCACATTCAATGAGAAACAACTGCACACACAAACATTTTTTTAAATCCAGCCTGAGTCCTCAGCAGTCTGTTTAATGCTGCATAATTCTCAACATGTAAATAATGAAAGTGCTCAGTGAGGGAATGAGGTCTGACATGAACCACTGTGATCTGGAGCTGCAGCCTCAGAAATCAGGTCAGTGGGCTGGTTTCCCCCAGGAAGCAGCAGAGAACTGGGTCAGAGGAGCTGTTACATTATCCAGGGGAGCTCTGTGCTCCTGTGTTTACAGAGGGTGGATTAGGTTTCCACAGAGTGTAAGAATTAGCTTCAGTTCACCGTTAGCAGCATCAATAAATAAAACTTGTATTTTTATTTTAATTATCTTATTTAAACATTTTATTTTAATTAATTAGATGCTCAGAGTTGACCTCCTGGTGTCCCACTTCTCTGATTCTGTCCTACTTATTCAGTATGCACTACTGCACAATATGCACCCAGTAGGGAGAGGTGAGGAAGATCTTCTGTTATCAGTTTATTTAATATATGAAAACTCTTTGTATCAATCATGCAGTATGTCTCATGTTGTTCCAGGGGGCCAAAGTCGAAGCACTGCAGTGCCTGTAACAAGTGTGTCGCTAACTTCGACCATCACTGTCGGTGGCTCAATAACTGTGTGGGCAGCAGAAACTACAAGTGAGTAATGATTACATTATAGTGTTGTTGTTGTTATGTCTCCTGTCCTTGACTGATCCAGTTTATGTCCACTAGGCCTGGACCCAGTTATTTGCCTATTCAGAAATTCGTACGTTTGGTAGGTAATCATTTTTCAGTTTTAGTATTTGAATATCCAAGACAGCAGGGATTTTAATGCAGTCTGAGTTTGATGATGAAGAGGAAAGAGAGCACAATGGAGACAGCTTGGTCTGCTAGCTGGTACTCACACCTCTGAAACTGTTGGAGCAGATCTCCACATAACCCTAATCATCGCTTGGACAGACAGACCAGATATTCTAAATCTAAATAGCTGATTTCTTGCCTGAATTTTTTTAAATTTAAAATAAGTAGCATAAAGCCAGACCTATGATGAAATACTCACTGATCAAAATTTCCTGGATCAATAAATCATAAGTGAAATGTTGTTAAAACACAAGTGACACCTCTTTTCTGTAGTAAGGCAGACAGCCAACGAGCCGCAACCTAATGTTCATCAAAGCGAGCCACCTTGATGAGATATCGTGTGTGCAACAGCTGTGAGACAGCAGAGCATCTAACAGAGAGAGTTTGACACTAAGTACGTCATAAAAGCTGGATTCCCGACAGGGTTCCTGACTGTCACTGTTTTTGTTCTGTCACTGCAGCTCAGAATAATGTGGAGACTGGGATGTTCACTGCTAAACTCTGGTGTCTGTTATTAGAAAAGAATCAGCACACTGTGAAATGTTTCCCTTGATTATAAATCAACATATCATCAGGCAGAGCGGTGTCTTCTTCTGATATTACCATCACTTTTTATCTGCATCACATGCTCACAGTTTGGTCATCATCAGGAAGTGGAGCAAAAACATTGAATGAGAGATGTACAATAGCTTACACACACACACATATGTTACTTTAAAACCTGGAAATTGTTTCTGGTGTTTTTAGTTTCTTCTATTGTAGTTGTATGATCACATTCTTTATGTTTGACATTGTTTATAATTTTCTATTTCACAGTATTTCAGTCAGTTCTGTTTACAGTGTGAACGATTGCATTTAACAGTTCTGAGAACACAGGAGTTCTTTTTGTGTATGGTACTTTTATAGTACTGTGTGTAATGAGTAGTGCTGTGTATCCTGCAGGTTGTTCCTCCACAGTGTAATCTCGGCTCTGCTGGGCATCTCTCTGGTTCTTGTTATCGCCCTCTATGTCTTCATTGAGTTTTTTGTGGACCCGTCCAAACTCCGTACTGACAAACACTTCCTGGGTAAGCGCTAACCTCAGATCTGTGTTACTGCAGCTAGTGCACGTCTCTGAGGAGTCTTTATGGCTTGAGAGGACCATCTGTGAATAAAGGCTACCTAGAAGCTCCCAGGGTTCCTTTCAGCACAGTTCACCTGTCTGTGTGTCCCCTGTAGTGAGGAATGAGACAGGCATGTGGTTTGTCTTCCTGCCGGTGGCTCCGCTCAGGTCGGCAGCAGTGGTGATTCCTGCTTTGGCTGCTGTCACCATCGCTCTGGGTCTGCTGTCATCTGTGCTGCTCTGTCACCTCCTCTGCTTCCACATCTACCTGAGTAAGAGTTGACACCTGACTGTCTGCCGTAAAATAGTCTTCATGTTTGATCCTCCTGTAATGTCCCAGTTCAGGGTGTATGGTGGAACACTTTACTGTCCTTTAGTTTTTCCAAAATTAAATAAAAATGTGAATTTAACACTGAAGGGGAAAACGAATTAGACAAAGCTGCAGTTTAAAGCAGATGCCAGCAGGTGGAGGCAGAGCGGCCATAAACTCTGTGTGTTTACAGTGTGGAACAGACTCAGTACCTATGAGTACATCATGCGGCAGCGACACCGGCAGAGCAACAGGGACCTGAGGAAACCGGGGTCCATGAAGGAGATGGCGGCTCCTTCAGTCATCAAGGTAAGTGATGATCCGCTCCCAGTCATGCTGGCTCATTGTGGGGGGAGGTTATTAATCCTTTCTACTCTGCTGTAACCCCTCAGGATGTGAACTACTCAGGGACTCTGGGTTACACCAACCCTCAGCTGAATGGAGAGGAACCTACCAGTGCGGCTGTGCGGGGGGAGGGAGAGTAAGTCCTTTAGTTCCTTCCTGTTCCGCTTCTGATTGTATGACACTTCATTAAGAATGAGCTAAATCTAGATCCCTGCAGACCCTTTTGCTCTCTGTGGAGGTCTGAGTTCAGCCCCTAGCTCGCTCTGAGTGGCTCAGGCTGACTGACCGTGTCCTGACTAATTTTAGTAAACAGCCACTAAGTCATTTCATAACACAGTGAGCTGGAGCTGTTGCCATGGACACAGTTTTCTTTGCAGAAAACAAAGTGTGCAAAGTGAAATTCTTTGGCCGTGACTTTCAGGAAGCAAACAAAGTATATATTGTGTGTGTGTGTGTTTGAGCTATGGGAGGAGGGAGCTGAGAGTTTTCAGAAATAACTCCAGTCACTGTGGCTGTGTGCCCTTAGCTGGTCCCGGTAGGAGTCTTTATTTATACTGCAGTGTTCACAGTAGTGTGACCAGGACACAGTGTTCCCAACACAAAAAAACACGAAGTTACTAAGTAACATGTACAGTCACTGTTTCATGCTGCCAGCTGGTTCTGGTTCCAGTTTGAAGTGTTCATTACAATAGCACTTATTTGCTTTTTGCTATTAAAAAATCTGGTAAAATTGTCCTGTGGATCGAAAACTAAATCTGCCATGTTTTTTTTTTTGTTTATTTTTTTTATACCCACACGCTTGAAGTACAGGACAACTAGGGCTGGATTAATCCTGACTTGTATTTGAATGATCCCAAATCACTTCTTAAAATCCATATGTCAGTCTCTGCATTTGTGTCTTTTTTCAACAAACTTATATCAGCATTAAATGCCCTGTGTATGCAGATGTTTCTTGTTGTAAATGATTCAGTTCAGACTGCAGGATGTGTAAAATGTCGACTTTGTGGAAGGAGTTATTTCAACATGCACTGATTGGCCAGTGAATCGAGGAGATTTATCTAATTATTTAATTTTATTTCAACTGTTAAGTCTGCTTCAGGGGAAAGCAGCTGAAAAGAAGGAGATTATTTTAAGTAGGGTTCCTAAACCTTCAGCAAATTGAGACATGAATTATTACTTGGAGATGCACTTCATTAGTAGGGCGGTCATTCAAAGGCTGTGTATAATAAATGAATGATGAAAATGTATGACCTATATTGTACTTTAACACTGACATTTAGATAGCCTGCTCTCTGTGTTGGGCAGCGGATACTTGAGACATGAAGTCCAGCCTGTTGATGCAGGCCTTCCCGGGATTAGTTCAGTTTTTCCACAATGCTGATCTTATGTTTCTCTCTTCCTCTCACACCATGCTCCCATCTCTGCTGCCTCTCCACTTTCTGATGATGTGTCCCTTGAGGATTGTTTATGGAGGGAAAAGTTAAAGGACATTTAATATGTATGGTTTTGAAAATGCTGTGACTCAGTGCACAGATGTAGCTATTCTCTGCATATGAAGCTCCCCTTCAGACTGACATCAGCAATGCTTTAAGAATTCAGATAAACATAAATGCTATTTCTATCATTGCTTATTCTGACAGGCTTCCTTGTGGTCTGACAACTGGCTCCTTGGGGGCCACTAACATTACAACCATTCTGGTGATGCTATAAGCCGGGTCTGTACAATGAACGCATTGTTTCTAAAGAGCAGCACTTATAAATTACCTCCTATGACAGTCTTTTGCCAGTGAGCTGGTAATGTGACACGCCTACAGTTAGGCAATTTTATGTAATTGAAGGACATTAAGATTCAGTAACACACTCAGCTATGTGCAGGTGAAGGAAGAGGGCAAAGTAAACGGTGTATACAGTATGGTCTGACAGCGCTGAGCGGGGTCAGAGGTGCACGCTGGTTGCTGGCTGAGCTACAGTCTGTGTGTGGTAGTGAGTGATAATTACTGTGAAAAGTGGCTGCTGAGTTTGCTTTCCTGATGTCATATACTATTGTTAGGAAAGCAAAAATGTATATACTGTATATGCAAGCTGCTGTTGTGGGGCTGAGAATAGTTCTGCAGTCATCTTGTAGAGGAGGATATCTTCTGGTGTGCTGTTGCCCTTGTAGCTAGGATTTTAAATAAACTAAAGTTATGAGTCCAGTTTTGCTTAGTGCAACCACATCTGTATTTTTGTCAAATTTTATTTAAGTTATATTTTTGGAACATCTGTGTCCCTTCTGTGTTGTCTAAATGCTCTTTCAGAGACTCCTTATTGCTAGCATGTGATTCAGGTGGAACAATTTAAAAGCCCTTTATTATATGGGTCTAATTTATTGTCCCTCTATATATCGCAGATAAAATTATTTCAAACACGCTGATTATATGCTCTGCCTTGCCATAATCTGGATATTGTATAAAATGTAGTTCTGTAACGTGTTTAGGCTCGCATATTAACGTGTTTAGGCTCGCAGATTAACCATAAAACCCAGTAAAAAAGTTACTCGGTGAGGCAAACAGTACGCCTGCCTCAAGGCAGAGGGCGCTAGTGAGCCCACAGATTCTTGCGCTACCTACAATCTTCTTCGTGCTTGTTTATATTTCCTTTACAATCCGCCTTATCAAAATGGAAGATTACATTTCCAAGCTGAGAAAATTCGCAAATCTGGACTTTCAATCAAAACATTTTTGACAGTCTGGACATTTTTGTCCAGAAGGATCTTCTTTATTGAAAACATTTGTTTTAATATTGGATTCGAACGGTAAAAGGGTTTGTAATACATACCAGCTGACAAATGGATTTCGTGTACAAGTAAAGGTAAGACCATAAACTTTTATTATTTCTAGTTAGAAATAAGCTCAATTGGAATAAATTTTAACCTCAAATTAAATATGGGTCACGTTTGTGTGAAGAATGCTGATATGAGATATAAAACATAACGCATTGTCTGTTAACAGACAATTTGTATTTGTAAATCTGACTGTAAAAGAGTTAGTGCCTCACCAGCTGTCAACCTCACCGCACGTCACTCAGTACCCACAAGACTGTTTTAAAGAAGTCTTTGGACCACTGGCCCAGTTTTTGAAACTATTACTAAAGGGCATGGTTGACTTATCTACAATGTTACAACAGTGAATTCTCATCTTAGATGTGACCTAAAGCTCAAAAAATGAGCTGAACGTAGATTCTAGTATTTCTGTGCAGAAGCAACTCGGTTTATACACGTCTCACAAACTCTCTCGCAAGTTAAATGACAACATAAAGTATTATGTGATAGTTTAAGGATTTCCTTGAATGGTCATAATCTCCAGGCCGTTGTGCGTTCATGTGAGTTTGCCTGACATCCACCAGTGCCATTGTAAAAGCAGAATTTTTCGACTACCCCTGGTTTTGTGGATATATTTTCCCTCTTGCTGCTGCACTGTGACCAGAGGATGTGGAGAAAATTACAGGGCCTGAGGTTACTGCATGTCTGGGAATGTTCCTGTACAGGGACTGGCCGTTTTACCTGCCCGGGTCTAACCTACGAGCAGCCGGCCAGTGAGGCCCCTGCAGTGGTGATCAGCTGATCAACGATGGATTCCCCTGGAGCACAGTACCTGTCTGTTTTGACTGCTTGAGGCCAGTGTGTCTGCAGCATGTGATGTGTTGCTGGTTAACAAGCGGATTCACGACTCATGATGTTATTGTCAGTGCTACGCTACCTGTTGGAATTAATTTCACTACTTTGGGACTGTATGTGGTTGTGTGGGGGAAGATACAGTGACCACTGGTTGGATTTACCAACCTTGGAGCTACTTGAAAGGGAGCAATGTTTCCACTACTCGGTGGGACTTAACAGTAAGTTTAAAAAAAACACATGTTGCATGTCTGTTAATGCCTTGTTTCTGTAACGTTAGAGAGAATTGTTGTAAAGCTGGAGAAGTTACTATGTCTGCATTATGCCAGTTAAAATATGGGGATTCTCAGTTACCCGCTTTGTTTAGAGTGTTACACATCTCTTGTCATCTGTACCGTTGTTTACCTATCTATGGAGGAGAAATTCAAACAATAATTGCCACGGCAGTCTGTAGACCAGGATGTTTGAAATCACGTCAATAAAGTATATTTCACCTTTATGTGGCTTGTCCTAGTGGGTTTTGTTGTTCTTTTTTCCTCGTTACACAATTTGCTCAATAGATCTGACCTTAATGTACATACATGCGGATCCCCTCAAACCACAGGAGGAAGTACTGAGCTGCTTGGCACACCAAAAAGAGACAACAAACTACCAGCTTGGCGCTGCGTTCTATTTTAATGCACACTAGCGAAACAAAATATAAAATATAATATACCCTCAAATCAAAAAATGTTGAAACAATATGTAAAATCAAAGTTAAAACTGAAACTAGTGATGTGTGAATCATCTGTGTCCAGTACTACATTGAAAACAATACAGCAGAACATTATTTGATATAATACCGTACAACTTTTTCTTAGTTTGGCTTGTAAAATAAAAACAAAGGCTGGACTAGAACGGTCTCAGTTGACTGACAGATCTCTCGACTAAAGACTCGACTATTTGACTGTTGGGGGGGCGGCCCAGCTTCTTATTTTACTGTGAAACACTTTGGTCACTCTACTGGTTGTTGTAAAGTGTTTTACAAATAAATGTCCATTTGGTTTGATGTGTGTGTGTGTGTGTGTCAGGTTCCTGGCTAACAGCAGAGCGAGGAGTGTGTCCAGTCCTGTCATGGAAGAAGAAGCTACACCCGCCATCTCTACAGAGCTCAACACAACAGGACGCACACACCGACGCACACAGGTACACACAGAAAACCACACAGGTATACGCACACACTCAGCTTTGTTATTAGAGACTGCAGCCTGCACTCAACTGGATTTTAAAATCCAGTTCTGGACAGACTTTGTACAGACATGATCTTGTCTTGGAGACGTCTGCGGCACAGTCAGAGATGAAGATGACCTAAGTCCTTGTTCTCTTACAGAAAAAGAAGATGATCTGTAAAGTTCCTGCAGAAGTGACCAGAGAGCACTGTTCGAGTACAGCCCCACCCCCTGGTACACACACACACACAGCGTACTGTACACACCTGTGTGACAGGTCCTCCGTGATGACGAGTGAAGGTAGCACTGTGTGTGCGTCACTGTTTCAGGCTCTTCTGGCAGTTTTCTTGTCTGCCTGCATACAGTTAATACTTTCCTCTCATACTCTATTAGAGGCAGTAATATTATGGCAGTAACAATGGAGCAATATTAGTGTAAAGACAAAATGAATGTTGTGAAAATTGCACAGTAATAATGGCATAATCACAAATTGCAGAAATACAGAATGCTGATATATAGAGTACAGTGATTAACAACACATTTTTTCTTCATTTCCACCACAAACGTCTGCTCTTTGAGGAAACACAGATGGTAGTTTGGATATCGGCCTTATGATATCCATCAGTCCAGGCTGGAAAATGAAGTGTTACTCTGAACTGAACAGCAGAGGAGTCTCAGTATTTGTCATAAAGCTGCACCACTAATGGTGTCTTGTTGTTTTATTGTGTTTATGATTGTGGGAGATCTAAAGATACAATGGAGCCTTGCCATTAAGGGCTTTGTATGTTAGGAGAAGGATGGGAGAGATCTGATCTCTCTTGCTAGTTGCTGTCAGTACTCTGGCTGCAGCATTTTTGATTAACTGGAGGCTTTTTAGGGACTTACTGGGACATCCTGATAGTAAAGAGTTACAGTAGTCCAGCCTGGAAGTAACAAATGCATGGACCCGTTTTTCAGCATCACTTTGAGACAGGATGTTCCTGATTTTTACGATACTGCGCAGGTGAAAGAAGGCAGTTCTAGAGACTTGGTTTATGTGTGATTTAAAGGACATATCCTGGTGGATAATAACTCCGGGGTTCCTCACAGCTATGAGGAACCTGCTGTGGCTGAACAAACCTTGTGTGTCTGTCTCACTATAACTGTTTAAATCTCAACAAAACACTGATTTCTCCTGATTGGGTGTTGCTGTGTTGTCCCCCAGCAGAGCCCACCAGTGTGTCCCTGGGTCAGCGACTTCCTTTCCCAGCATACCCTCTGAGGGCCTCCCTGCCCCCCTTGGCCCCCACGCCGGGACCTGTCCAGGCCGCTGCTCCTCCCGCTGAGTACCACTCAGACTCTGCAGAGTCTCTGGAGGAGATCCCTGTGGCATTGGCCAAACTGGGCTCTTCATCCTCTGCTGGTGCTGTCGGAGACACCTCCTCATCTTCACATAGGGCTGTCCCAGCATTCCCCCTGCCCTCCCCTCAGCTTAGGACTAAGAGGAAGGCCTCCTCCCGAACAAATAAGAGCACAGCGGAGCTAAGGTTTGAGCTGGCTTCCACCCAGCCTCTCACAGTGTTTGTCAGCCAGGCCAGTGGAGAGGCCAGTAAGCACTGGGAGGAAGGCCTCAGTCTGAGCAGGAGGCAGACCATCTCCAGACCTGGGTCCAGACCGGTGTCTCGGGCCTCACTGGGCTCAGGCGCAGCCTTGTGGATGGAACGGTGACCAGAGCAGATTGTTATGTTTGTAAAGTCACTTTAATTCTCTACAGCCACACACAACAAGCTATATTTAATATTATTCTGATGAGCTCTTTTGCATCTCTATTTTATTTCTTTATTAGCTTTGAAAGTGACTTTCTTATTAGTTTTGATGATGACCTGACATTTTAATTTTGAATGCCAAAGGTGAGATCCCATCTTATACATGAAAGAATCCTTTTTTTTCTGACCAGACTTTTTATTACCTGTCACTGAGCAGCTTTTCAGTGTGTTTGCCTCTTTGTTCCATGGATGCCATGAAGCTCATGAGATGCCAGCACACCCCGTTGTTTTTACTGTTTTCCTGTGAACAGCTCCTCCCCTGTCTCCTGGTCTCAGGTAATCCAGGACCAGAGCAGCACAGGGGTTTACAGTGAACTGCAGTCCTGACATTACTTCAGTAATAACTAAAACACACAGTTAATGGATAGTAATGCTCCTGCTAACAGCACATATATCACACGTCCTGTTCAAACTGTTGGCTACGACACTACATGAAATTAATAATCCTGAGTAAATAAAATTTAGAATAAAATATTAAAAGAGATATTCCAAATTCATGATATTAACACGTTTCATCAATAAAACTTGCTAGATTTTTTTTCACTGACTATTTCACACTTGTGTTTCACTTTCAGTTGCATACTTGAGTATCTCTTTCACAATTGTTTGTGTAGTGCCCCCTTCCCGCCCCAATGCAAACTCCTGGGTTGAGCTATGTTAAAGGAACAGTTCAACATTCAGACTCCCATTTTAAAAACTTGTTCACATTAACAGTCTTCACATGGTTTAGCGGGTTCTGTCTACTGAAGCAACTGCACAACATAAAAACAGTTAATCACTTTTGAGTTTACAAACAACAAAACTACATCAAAACAACATCTGGTGAGGAGGAAGACAATCGGTATTTTACTATCAAATCAACAAAAATCAGGTCTGCTATGTATTCAGAGACATCTTCATTTAAACCGATGGATCCTAGAGAATGTTTGAGTTGTCTTAAATTTCCTGCGACCCTCAATGAGCAGCTACGACATCAGATTGACTGAGCACACTGAGCTGCACTTTTACTTTTACACACTCTGGACACAGTTTGGAAAACGCTCACTGAGCACACTGAGCTGCACTTTTACTTTTACTTTTACACACTGGACACAGTTTGGAAAACGCTCGGTTTTGGAGGGAGAAGCCACCTAAAACAGAAAGAGATGAGTTTACACATTGATTGTGCTTAATGTGGATATACTCTGGGTGAAGTCCTCTTCTTCTGGCCTTTCTTCCTTAAAGTTGGATGGTCAGCTATGCGGGGGCCCTGACAATAAATACTTTACTATATAAAACTTTGTAAAACACTGAACTGTGGTCTTTACATTTTGGTTTGTGTCCAGATGAAACAAGCCAAATCTAAGCTGGTAATTTAGTTAATTTTGTTACCTATGATCAGAACCAAGCCAACTGTTTCCCTGTTTTCAGTCTTTTGTTAAGATAAGCTGATTCCCTCTTTCTGGTCTTTATGCTAAGCTAGCTGTATCCCTGTATCATGTATTTAGTGATAAACTCCCTCTGTTCTGTTTGTTTTAACACCAGGGTCAAGCAAAACTGTTCTGATGTTCTATAAAATACTATTGCTCTTTATTATTTGTCACTTTATTGTAAACACTTTTCTCCATAAAGTTAGGGCCAGTCTCACTCCTCTGACTCTACTGATCTGAGGTCTATTTGTATTTGTTGGACAAGTGTGGAGTTGTGAGTCGACTAGGCAGCGAGCAGATGTGTCCTTGTTCAGCAGCTCACTGTCTTCAGGCTCATGAATCACATGGCACATGAATTAGTGTTTGGATGTGTCTGTGGTGTTGTCTGTCGAAGTGTGATGCTGAATGAGACACCTGTTTTCACTTACAGCCTTGCAGCTGCTCAACTCTCACCCTTGAAATGTGGGTAACATTTTATAATACAGGTAGAATTGGGCTTCAGAGGCCAACGCTTATATATTACTGCATATTTATGCCACATTTACAAGCTAGAAAACTTGACTACAAAAAGATGCATACGCAGCAGGGCCAGTAACACAGCAGTAGCACCAGGTCCTCTAACTGGTCAAACTGAAGCAGCTACAGTGTTGCCAGAGCGTGAAGGTGAAGGCCTCTGTCTGCAGTGCTGATCTGAGGTTGTACCAACAGGTGGAGGTAAACACTGTCTCTAGTCCTCTCTGATTGACTGACCTCTGCTGGTTTACAGCGTCTTGTATTAACATCTCATTTCAGCAGAACACAAATGAAGGACAGGAAGAAAGATGACAGCATGGTCCCACATTTTAGCTTGGTGAGTAGTCTTAAGATGAGCTATAAAACAAAAAGACTAGCACTGGAATAAACATGGTTATCATTTAAAGTGTATTGATTTGAACAGCTCAGCATGCACCGACCGACAGTGTTGACAGTAGCCAGTAATGAGCATAAAGACTTCCTGTTCTACCAGAGTGGGTTTTCAGGGCTAGTACTGAGCATTTTGTGATTTCAACAAATCTGGTCCATCCACATTTTATCTAACTGATTTAACAGAACAAATGTCATGTGCAGCCTCCAACCAACATGTTAGTCCATCTTTGCTGGTTCCTAAGATGTAATTTCTTAGAAACACCTCACAAATATATAGTTAAATTTTTAAAAACACTTTAATTTTAGAATCAGAATTTTCTTTATTTGTTAAGTATGTTGAACACAATGAATCTGACTTCAGTACAGTGACTTTCAATGTGCTTTGTTACAGTAAGTCAAGAAAAAAGTCAATTTAAATAAAAACGAGACAATATATTAATAAATATAAAATGTCAAAGAAGAGCTTCTAGATACAGTATGTACAGTAGTTATACAATACAATACAAATTACTGTTTGTTTTGCTGTTTCATGCTATTCAGACATATATGAATTACATCAGAGCGACGGCTCGGGGAAAGAAACTGTCCCTGTGTGTGGTTGTTTTGGCGCACAGTGACCTGTAGCGCAGTCCAGAGGGGAGGAGTTAAAACGGTTTGTGTCCAGGGTGTGAGAGGTTTACAGAAATCTTCTCCGCCCTCCTTTTGACTCATGAGGTGTACAGATCGTTCATGGAGGGCAGACTTGTACCGATGATCTTTTCTGTAGTCCTGAATGTCCGCTGGAGTCTGTCCCTGTCCTGTTTGGTTGCTGAGCCAAACCAGACAGTGATGGAGGTGCAGAGAACAGACTCAGTGATTCCTCTGTAGAACTGGATCAGCAGCTCCTGGGGCAGGTCGAACTTCCTTCCTAATTTCATAAGCAGCTGCTCACTGTAGCTTTTGCCAGACAAACAGGAAGAAGCAGTGCATGTTTTGGGGACTATTTTCAGCAGCAGATGAATCCACATTTGGTCAAGTACAGCAGGACGGTGTGTGTGGGACTGAGTCTGAATCACCTCCATTGTGTGTTCATGGTGATGGAGGAACATGTCAGCCAGTGTGGCTCCTGGTGGGTTTACTGGTGTCTGGACACAGTGGAGGTCTGTGTCCCAGAGGGAGGAGGGAGATCAGGAAGGGTTGGAGGAGACATTCACTGGTGGAGGTGATGACAAGAAGGAAAGTAGAGAATACGACCAGTGGCCAAACTAACCTGCACTGAAACAGCAGCATCTATTTGAAGTCAACAAATGACTCAAATATAACTTGAGGGTAAATTTAAGACAAGATTTGTTTCTGTTTCCTGACCCAACTTTCTTTAACTGTGACACAACAACAGGGCAAATAAGTTAGACTTATTTAGGGAGCACATTTATAATTGACAGATGTTGACCAAAGAGGTTAACAGAGAAATAAAATGGCAGTCACAAAGAAAAATGAGAGACAAAATTTAAAAAACAAATAAAATGAGAGGGTGTTCTGTAAGTTAATTCTTGTGAGAACTCAGAAGCAGCCGTGTAAGGGTGAGTGTGTGATGTAATAATAGCAACAGAAGAGGAGGATGTGACTCTGGGCTAAACTGTTCCACAGTCTGGGAGCGGCGATGGAAAAGGCTCCGTCCCCTCTAGGTGTGGATCGTGAGTGCGGCCTAAAACTAACCTGCACTAAAGAAACATTATAAAATAACACACTAGATTCTGTCACAGTGGAGTGGTTCTAATGTTTGTTTTGGCTGATTATTAAAATATTAAATGAATAAATATCAAAGTACCTTATCAAACTTAAGAATATAAATAAATATAAAACGTAGAAAGTCGAAAGTTCCTTTTAAGTGGTAAGTAAACAGTACTGTAAGTGAACCAAGTTTCTCTGGGTCAGCACAGGCACAGTGATTTTTAAATATGGTGCTTCTCTGTAACAAATGGCATTTAAGAGGGAAGTTCAGTCGGGTTTGGAGAGAGAGAGACACACCCAGCAGAGGCCAGTTTGTGAGAAGCTGCTAAATTAAACCATATGGTGATGCTTCATTAATTTGCTGCTGTTGCAGTCAGTAATCCTCGCTCCCATCAGCAGCTGGTTCACACTGGTTCTTCACACAAACCAGTCACTGGCAGCACTGGGTCGAGCTCTGAAGTCACATTAGATATATTGTCAGTCAGATTTATCATCAGTTGGCAGTAGACCAGTATCAGCAGTAGACCACGCTTTTATTTTTACAGGCTGATAACATCTGTGTGTGTGTGTGTGCTTGCATGTCGTCATCCTGCCAAAATGTGAGGAGGGGTTGCCCCAGCAACAAGCCACGACAACATCATAACAGTGTCAATCAACAGGAGCGGCAATGCAAAGTATGTGACACACACACATTTATCCTTGGGTGGTTCCTGTGGTCACAGCAGTCTTTGTGCGCACACACACACACACAGGTTTGTGCACACTCTGGCAGCTACCCAGTCCAGCCACAGCCTTGTACTGGTTTCCACTGAGCAGCTGAGCTGTTTGATGCTCAGATGACGCTGCTGTTGTTATGCACAGCGGTGGGAAAAGTACTCAGATCAGATACGATACATGTATCATTACTCAGAGGTTACTGACGTACAGGGTACACAGTGAAACGCGAGCAGTGAGATTCTGCCACACATGTCCCAAAGTACTAGGTATCTGCACTTGCATGTTGCTGCTTTGTGCTGTCATGTAATTGTTGCTTTTAATTTGCATTTAATGTTTTACTCTAATTTGCATTCTAATGTTCTGTCTATTAATGCATTTTAATGTTTGATCAGTGTGGGCCTTGCTTTAATCACTTTGAATTGCCTTGGTGTATGAAAATGTGCTATATAACTAAACATGCCTTTCCTGGCATTGACACAGTGTAGAAATACTCTGTTACAAGTAAATGGCCGGCATTCAAAACTTTACTTAAGTAAAAGCGCAGAACTATTGGCATCAAAATGAAGTACCACAAGTAGTCAATATTGCTTATTACAGAATGGCCTGTTTCAGATGCATCATATTACTGGATAAGCAATTATTGGTGAAATAATGTGTATGCATCACTACTGCTGCACCTGGTACAGGTAGATTACTCCATGACAGCACATCATCATTTGTTAGTTGATGATATTAAGATTCTGTGAAGTAGCTCAAGCTGTGAAATGAATGTAGTGCAGTAACAAGTACAGCATTTCCCTCTGAACTGGAGTAAAAGTCTAAATTACCCAACTGCCACGACCAGTTTCTGATGTCCTGTTAGTGCTGACAGTTCACTGTCTTGACCCAACTCCTCTGGTTGTTGGCTCACGCCTGATTGCTTTTGCCTGGGTCTCCTTTCCTGTCTGTTTAACTGGCTCTGCCCTTTGGGTCAGTGTTGGATTGTCAATGGTCCTGAGCAGAACTATGCAACCGCCATCTGAAAACCTATGAATCCCTGACCTGTCTTCTTCCTCTGCCCTAACTGGATTTGTAGATTTGCTCTCTCTTCTGCTGTGTATGAATGCCTGCCTGTTTTTGGATGATGGACATCGGATCTGTCTCAGTGAGATTTTGAGCCGTGCTTTCAGCTGTTACATGCAGGGTGGGCGGACCAATGCTGAATTGTTTTATTCTGAGGTGTGTGACTGAGTTTAGTTCTCTGTTTTTGTGTGCACACATAGAAGAAGGATTGTTTTTTGCTGGTGTTCTATAGAAGAAGGATTGTTTTTTGCTGGTGCGTAAACACTCACTGTGTTTACGCAACTTACCTGTCGTCTCCTCCTGAGTGTTTTTTGAGAGAGCTAGGTTCCTGTATGAAACGTCACCTCTACTTACCTCTATGATTCATCCTTCTCCTGCATGATGAAACTGTCATACCTACAATCAGCTTACCCGAATGGTCTGCCATTTTTTCTGCAAGTTGCCATTGTACCTGTTGCTCCGCCACTGCCTTTGGTCTCCTACCATTCACCTGCAAAACCAACTGAGTCTTCATTTGATAGATGGGTCTTGATGTCAGAGCACCCTCTGTCAGAGAGACCTGGTCACTGTGGCTCAGGAAGTAGATCAGGTCGTTTCCTAACTTGAGTATTCAACTCCCAGCTTCTCCAGTCCACATGTCAATCTGTCCTTGAGCAAGACACTGAACCCCAAGTTGTCGCTGGTGATGTCACTTTTATGTGAATGGGCAAATAATGTGAAAGTGCTTTGATTGTGCTGCAGCGCTTAGAAAGCGCTCTACAAGTATAAGACCATTTACCACTACTCTCAGTCCACATATTTTCTTTTCCCTTTTCCCTTAATTGCTTTCACCACAAAAGGGGTGTGAAGAAACTCAGAAGGGAAGAACCCGAGGCTGTCGCTATGTCTTGGAAACAGCCCTGTCCTGGTATGTACCTAGCAGGTTCATCTGTCAGTGGCTTCTGCCAGTAAATCAATATCTGCAACACAGTTGTCTACTGTTCCTGTGGGTCATGTGGCCCTCTCCCTGCAGGTCAGGCTGGTCCCCAGAGACGCCCCCACCATCATGATGTCATCCTGAAGTCGTCCCACACTGACAGCTGCTTCCTGCT